AGACCTTCTTCTGAACTGCGTCATGAAGTTGCTGGTGGCGGTCGCCTTGCCAGGCGCGGGCCCGCCGATGGCCAGGCCCTCCTGGCTGATCCTGAACAGCCTTTGAAGTAATACATTGCATTCTTCTCATTGAACATGCTAGCTGATATCATGTTACCTCCCAGCTCAAAACTAAGCGGTATCACGTTTAGGCTCTGATGTTCATAGGAATCCCCTAAAGCACACCGGAGTTCAATACTTCCGGGAAATTCTTGTTCCATTTTCCAGCTTATGGAACTATAGAGTTGCACTTGTTCAGGTCAAGACGGCGCGGAAGCTATTGGTCCGTCCTGTATCCTAGAGTCGTGGCTAGTGTAAACTGTATCAGGTATAACAATGGAATACAAGAACATAGACAGCGAGGCAGGTCATGATAAGACTTGGCTGATGACATGCAAGTATACAAGTACGGCGCCCATACTAGAATACCGCCAGCTCGCCATCAGTACTATCTCTGCGAGGTTCGCGTGGACCTTCGTTTCTTTTCGCTGTTCGATCTGTTCTGTGTATCCCTGCGAGTGGCCCACCGGCACGCTCATTGAGGGGCTTCTGTGGGTAGAGGCTGCTTCGTTAACATTCGGCCCCGTCTACCCCAAGGTGTTTTCCCGCCCTGGGTACAAGGAGCTACTGGCGGCTGACCTCACAGGGCCCCCCGTCTTGTAGAGGGCCATACACAAGCTTGCCTTAAGGCGGCAAATCAGGTGGCCTTGTGATGATGGGGATTGGCGATGGAGGGGGCGGGTTCACGTGTGTATCGCATTCAGAGTACCGGCTGCCAGGGCTGATTAGGGTGAATACCCAATGGGAGGCTTATTGTCTTAAACCCTTTGTGTGGTCTGGGTGGTTCCAAAAGGGTTACAAGGCAGCCGGCTCATACCGGCACAAGTCTCAAGGATGGTTGCAGAAGGATACACTGTATCCGCTCGACGACTGCATGCTCGGAGGGGAATGTGCTGTCAGTAGAGAAGCTGGTGGCATGGGTGGAGAAGAAACACATGGAAGCGAAGGCATGGGTGACAATGATGGCTGACACGTGTGTTAATTCGGTCACAATTGTAACCCTTTTGGAACAACCGTGTTTGTTATAGGGGATGGCGCATCTGGGCCACTCCTTTGAAACGTGGGTGCCGTCCACTTTGTGACCAGCAAGCACACATCAAGTGAACTGGACAGTCAGCAACCAGTCGTACTAGTCCCACCGATACTGCTGTGGCGGTGTCTGCCTCGCACCTTACACTGACGGCACTCTTTCCAACAATGCAGAATGTGAAGCCATTTGAGTACTGAACCGAAACTCCATACGGGCATATGGACTGCCAGTGTGCCTTTACGCATATACGCCTGCATATGTATGTACATGCGTGCCATCTGTTGCACATGTGCATGGGATAACTTTCGTAGTCATTCGTTGTCAACCAGACAAGGGTGCATCCATCGGCCTCATTGCTGCGGTTGCTCAGCGGTTGGTGAAGTGTGTGTATGGCATGAAGTACATCAGCCCCTTTCGGTCCCCCTCCGGGGCGGCTGTGCAGAACTTGCCCTTCAGCTCACTTAGCGGCAGCCCTAGGTCCTGCCACATCTCCCACTGGCTGCCTGCCCTCGCTGTCTGGGCGGCCGCCATGTTGACCACCACCAGCCCCTCGCTGAACACCTGTCCCGAGTACACATCTGCGACAGTGAATCGGACATCCTGAGCGCCATCTTCTGCGGGCAGGTGGACGAAGTGCTTGAGGTAGGCCGCATACGTCCGAGTCTTGTTGCCGACTTCTGCCTGGTAGCATGCCCAGCAGGAGATCCGCTGCTGCTGGCGCCCATACTCAGCCCCGAAGTACTGCTCCTCGTCGAGTGCCTCGGCATGCAATAAGGAGCGGGCCTTGGGACAGTCAGGTGGTGTAGACATGAGAACCCTATCCAGGCGGTCCGTGTCCAGTTCGTAGCTCGCACTGGGACCCAATGTCCAGGAAGCCACATCCTCGAATGCCAGGGCATACCAGTGCACTAGGCTCGCCATGGCTGCCCGGACTTGTGCCACTCGTTCTGGACTCGGGTAGACCATGTGGCCTCGTCCAAGCAGGTAACCGTTGGCTCCTGGTTTATCAAACCAGGCAGCCTCGGTGTTCACTGCGCGCCGTGCCAACATCCTCTCAAGCTGCTGGTTGGTCGTGTGTTTGGCCCCGGTCCGGGGGTCTGCCTCGGTGAGCGACTCGGAGGCCCGCATCAGGCACAGCCACTGCGCGTAGTGCTTCTCGGGTGCCTGTGACACCATCCTTCCGCCTTGCGTCTTCATTTGCTGCATCATGCGTTCCACCGGCAGGTCGGAGTACAGCCAGCATACGCAGATATGCAGGTTGACCGTGAACATGTAGCCCGGCACCTCCAACTCCTCCAGCCTGGTCGTGTAAGCTCTGAGCTTGCATGCAGCCGCCTTGGCTGCCACCAGGAACTGCTCACGGGTCTCATCGGGGGGCCGCGGCCAGAAGTAGTGCGTGACCGTGCTGCACAGGCTCCAACACAGGGCCCGCAAGGCCTCGGGCAGCACGTCCCCCTTGAAGATGTAGCTGGAGAACGTCTCAACGAAGTGCAGCCAGTCCTCCATGCGGTAGCTCTTGCTGCATGGGTGGAGGGGGGCAGTGTGGCGAGCAACCGTGTAACTAGAAGAAGTC